TTTGCTATTTATGTCTCCTAACTACATTATCTTATGTGCTATAACTGGCTCTGATGCTTGGTCACCTTTATTGCTGATTGCAGCTATATTTTATTATTATTATTATTCCGCTGCTTTTTTCAAATGCCTGTATTAAGTGCAATGTTAGTCAAAAACCCATGAAACTTTGCAATATAGTAGAGCCCTATGCTCTGCTAGGTTTATTGCAAAAATGAAGGTCATAGGTCACATGGCAGCTATCTTGGTTTTTGCCACAATTTTTGTCATATATTCAGAAACCTGCTTCCCCAGAACCGCTAAAGCTACAGATTTACAAATTGCTATGTGAGGATATGCTGAGCTCTACAGTCATATATGTTCATTACAAGTCACTTGACCACATGGTTTGGCAGCCATATTGGATTGGGCAATTTTCTGCAAAAAACTTCATCTGAAACCATTTATCAGAATAATTCAAAACTTTGCTTGTATATCCAGGGCTACCTCTTCTACCACAGTTGTAAAAACAGGTCCAATCCCAAAATCAATATGGCCGCCAGAAGCCAATCACTTTTGACATTACAGCAAATTGCATAACCGTGCATTTCTATCACTATTTTTTTTTTTTTTTACATAGGTTGAAAAATAAAGACACAAGTCCATTGAGTTTAACTTTATAGAGATGAGAAAAAGAAAAAACTAAACCGGAAAGCTATGCCCACATTTACCCACTGTTGATCTAGAGCAGGGGCGCCTACTATTTTGCGTCTGGAGATCTACTTTTCAAATGACGAGCTCATTGAGATCTACCAACGAAAAAACACCTGCATTCAGGGGCGGGAGGGGGCGTGGCGGTGCATTGAAGTCAATGGCACCGCAGCCAGGCTCCGCAGGCAGGCCCCTCGCCCACAGTGCGATCGCCTGCATTAGTGCCTGTGTTCCAGTCCAGTGCGACCCGCAAAAATGCTGCGAGCACTATTTTTGCAGATCGCACTGGACTGGACGCATAGCACTAATGTGCCTGCGTTCCGAGTGCGGGCGATCGCAATGTGGGCGATGCCATTGACTTCAATACAGCTCCACACCCCCTCCCGCACCTGAACGCAGGGAGTCGGCCGGCTTACATTCCAGTGCGCCCTACAGGTCCCGGCGTCCTGTCCTCCCGTGGTGCTCGTGTGGCCGACGTTGCACATGGGGTGTCCTGCACCTTTCCATCTGCAGCGTCTGACACATTCAGCCGGCAGCCGCACGAGCACCACGGGAGCATAGCCGTAGCCAGCTCCTTTTGCGCCTGAGGCAAGAAAAAAAAAAGTTTTTTTAATTTATTTTTTACTATTTTTTATTTTATTTTCATTATTTATTTATTTTTATTTTACATTTTCATCATATTTTTTTTTTTTACTCTTGGGGGGGCTTCGGGGAAATATTAGGGGTCTAAAAAGCCCCCTGATATTTCCCTTTTAAAATAGAAAAAGAAATTGAGGACACATAGACACAATATTTACTATCAAGCAGTTTCTCAATGGGGAGAAGCCTGCTTCTCCCCATTGAGAAACTCATGAATGAACGGGACGTGATGTAAATCACATCCTGTTCATTCATTTATAGCTGGGGACACATAGTACTATGTGTCCCCAGTTATTTACAAACACTGGAGTGATCAGCCGATCGCTCCAGTGTTTGTCCTACACAGAGGATTGGTACATACTAGTGACATGTACCGATCCTCTGCCGCTCGTCCACGCACAGGGGGGCTGCAACTTCTCTGGATCCCCCTGCTCTCCCGGGCAGACGCAGCGGTGGGATACCACGAGCCGCGGGGGGGCGGAGCCGCTGTGACAGAACGGACGAGCAGTGAGGGGAGAGAGAGGCGCCGGCTGTCAGATCCTGGCCGAGCGTCTCTCTCTCTCCTCACTGCTCTGCATTAGTTAGTGACAGCGGCTCCGTCCTCCGCCCTCCCCCGCCGCCGGTTCCTTCACTTCTTCTCGGAGCCCCGCTGGGGAGAGCAGCGGGGATCCAGAGAAGCGGCGGGAGGAGAGGACATGGCGATCTACCAGTGATCGCTATGCGATCGACTGGTAGATCGCGATCGACCTTGTGGGCACCCCTGATCTAGAGGAAGGCAAAAAAACACCCCTATGAAGCATTTTTCAATTTGCTCCAACAGGAGAGAAAATCCTTCCTGACCCCAAAAGGCAATCGGATACTCCCTGGATCGACAATCTCTGGTGCTTAACCCCTTCGTGACTGACGACGTACAGTGTACGTCGCCAGCATCGGGGCTGTTTAAACAGACTCCCGGTGACTTTTGCCGCCGGGGCTCTGTTTAAACTTGTAGAGCCGACTGTCGGCTTTACAACAGAAGCGATCCTGGCGACTTACCTGTCGCCAGATCGCTTCTGCGTCCCGAAGAAGGGGCCCCCCCCCCGCCGGACACCCCCGCCGTGCTTCCCGGGCTCCGTTGCCCCTCCTACGGGCCCGGGACCGGCGATCTTTGTGTCCGCGGGGAGCTGGGGAGGAGGTCGACGAACTTCCGTTCATCGATCCCCTCCCCGTTCTATGGGACCGGGAGCGATGCAGATTGCATCACTTCCGGTCCCTGGGCTGTCAGTTCTGGGCTCCTGCAGCCCAGCTATAAGCTATTGAAGTGCGATCTGCACTTCAATAGCTTATTTCCAGTGTAAAGGTGACACTGAGGGTCTTTTGGACCCCCAGCATCACCTTAAAGAGGACCTGTCACCACCATCTGCTATTACATGGGGGGGCTTGCAAGCCCCCCCATGTGATAGCAGTCAAAGTAAAGTAAAAAAAAAAAAAAAAAAAAAACAGTTTTTAAAATTAAAATGAAATAAAATAAATCTAATAATAATAAAAAAAAATTTAAAAGTCCCCCGCCCCCGCGAGCATGCGCGTCGCCACGTAAACACGCGTCGGGTGCGCCTACGTATGAAAACGACGAACGCGCTACACATGTTGGGTATCGCCGCGCACGCCGGAGTGAGAGCAATAATTCTAGGGCCAGTATTTTGGGGTATCTCTAAATTGATGACCTGTGGGGGCTTTTAAAGCGTCTTCTATGGACTTTTTGGGGTACTGGTGTTTTTCGCCGTTTTACGGATGCACGCAATTTGTAACCTGGGCATGTTGGGTATCGTTTTACTCGTTGTAACCTCATCTTTTATATTTCATTAAAAAAATTGGTATTTTGTTGTGTTTTGGGGCATTTAATTAAATTTTTCACTAAATATTGGGGTTTAATTTATGTTGCGCTAATATTGCGCAACATAAAAATTTGCAACTACCACCATTTTATTCTATAGGGTCTTGGCATTCAGAAAATATACAATGTTGGGGGGTTTTAAGTAATTTTCAGGCCTAAAATGTGGAATATAACATGGGTACAAAAAATGAAAAAAAGGCCTCAGTCATGAAGGGGTTAATATACCTATAAGATCTCAGTATCCAGTAATCTGTGCATTTAGGAATACATCCAGATTTTTTTTCTTTTTTTAAACAGTTAACTGAACTGGCTAGAACTAGCTCCTGGGGGAGGAGAGCTCTTATCTGTGAAGAATCCCTTCCATATGCAAAGCTTAAACCTCTATTCTTTCAGATGCAGAGAGTGCCCCCTTGTCCTTTGCAGCGACCTTAAAGTGAATAATTTGGCACCAAGTTCACTATATGGACCATTTATGTATTTATACATAGTGATCATAACCCCCACCTTAATCGCCTCTTCTACAGAGAGAACAAATTCAGGCCGGTTAATATTTCCTCATAGCTGACCTCCTCCATGCCTCTTATGACTTTAGTTGCCCTTCTCTGCACTTTTCTCCAGTTCCACAACATCCTTTTTGTGAACTGATCCCCAAAATTGAACTGCATATTCCAGATGAGGTATTACTAATGCTTTGTACAGGGGCAGGATTATGTCTCTATCTCTGGAGTCTAGACACCTTTTTAATATAAGAATGTATTTTGCTTGTTTTAGAAAATGCGGCTTGACATTGCATACTATTATTGAGTCAATGATCTATTATTGAGTCTATGATCTATCAGAACACCCAGATCTTTCACTCCCCCCAAACATACTCCCCCTAGAGTGTATGAAGCATGCATGTTTTTAGTCCCCAAGTGCATAACTTTAAATTTTTTATCAACATTACACCTCCTTTGCCAAATAGATTCCCACACATTGAATAATGAAATGAATATTTAGATCATGCCATTGCTAACTAAGGCTTGTATGCCCATAGTTGGGAAAATAGATGAGCACATGTCCAGACTACAGAACACTGTATAGTGTGGCACAGCTATATCCAATTCTGTATAACTGCCTTCATATTATTACATTTTTTTTAGAATATAAAGCCAGGTATGCAGAATTGGATATAGCTGTGCCACGCTATACAGTTTTCTGGTCTGGACATGTGTTCATCTATTTTCCCCACTAGGGGGATACAAGCCTTAGTTGGCAATATCTACATAGTTATTTCTTGTCCTTTTTTTTTTAAATATTATATGCGGTTAAACAGCATTTTTGTGCCCAGCCCCCATGCGGTGCTGCAGTACTAATAGAAAACGATTTTCTTTCTGCCTGGAGATCCGAACCATTTAAATTACCCTTTATCTCATAATTACTTGTCAACCAGATCCGTAACCAAATTGAACCATATATACCAAAAAGATAAACCAGTTAACAGAGGATCGGGACAAGTATTCCAATTACAAAAAGAGTTTATTAGATAAAATATCAGTTTTGGACATAAATATATCACTAACTGGTTTAAAAAAAAAAAGCATGACATACAATTATAAATCTTCAGGTATGCAGATCTGTTTGTATAGTGTGCTCTCATTCATATATGCTAATCAGCTAGATTAGCTGATAGGTAGAGTTTGCAGCTATATTATTTACATTTTATTTCTGCTTTTACAAAGTATAACAAGAAAGAGTCTAAGAATTATATGAAACCTTTCTGTATTTTTTGTAATTTTGTCATTATTTTTATTTCAAAAAGGGGCCCTAAAGGTGTGTGGACATTGGAGGAGAAAGGTCTAAATCCAAATTTTGATACAACATTTGAAAATGCTCGTCCGTCTATAACGCATATGTCACTTCTACAACTGCAGAGAGTTGGTATCTTGAAGTTTTTGATCAGCCAAAATGTGGATGGTTTGCATTTAAGGTCTGGATTTCCCAGGTACGGCATGTTAAACTGATTTTGTTCTGTGCCTTTTTAGTTTATGGAGACAGTTACTAATTACTGTCTTTTGTATGCAGGGAAGAGCTTGCAGAGCTCCACGGCAACATGTTTGTTGAGGAGTGCACCAAATGTGGCAAGTGAGTATGTTTTACAGTGGACATATGCTATGTAATCAAGATAAGTAGGTTATCTTGATTAGTTCTGAGGTCATCAAAACATTTGGCACCACTTAAAATGACACTATGCTCGGGAGTTAAATCTTAAAAATGCATTCAAGTATTCTATTAACAAAAATGTAGCTTATTTGTGCATCACTTAGCTGTAGATCCCCAAATCCTGTCGGAATTTGTGCTGGCACTGTCCTTCCTTCTGGAGGAGGGCTACTTTTTGTTTTCCCAGGGTGCATGTGTGTGTTGTAGAGTAGCCACCACTCCGTGCTCACTCCCATGATGGGCTATAATTTCAATATAAAAAAACTAAAGTTGAGATTGTAGTCCACCAGTGCAGGAATATTGGTATTTGGTGAAGTAGGAGTGCCTAGGCATAGCTGCATGTCAGGAAGTGCACTGCTGCTCCTTCCTTTTTTATTTTTTTTAGGCTTAATCGCCTTTCTGCTTTGATACATTGAACATTTCTAGATCATAACTTTTTTAAATGAATGTGAAGACATGACTGGCATTCAGCTAATATTGTACCTATCTATAAGAATTGTAGTAAGGAAGAAGCTGGCAACTGCAGGCCAGTGAGTTATCGGTAGTAGTAAAATTAATGGAATCACTTATAAAAAGTAAGATACATGATTATTTATATATACACAACTTGTTGAACCCAAAGTAGAATGGCTTCACTGATGGAAGATCAGACTAATCTGATTAGATTTTTGGCTATGTTAGGCTTTGTCCACACCACCCTGGTCCAAAACATATCTTGATTTTTCCAAAGCATTTAATATATTTCCAAAAGATCATTGAAAAAAGTTGTAACCCCTTGGTGGTTTTAGTGGGTACACAGTTTACTAAAGGATAGATCAGAGCGTGATTGTAAATGTGGTTCAGAACAGAGACCAGTCACTAGTAGTGTACAGACAGGGCTTTGTACTAGGCTCTGTTCCTGTACTGATTTAATGTGTAAATGATATAACTAAAGGTTTGATAGGTAAGGTATGTCTTTTTGCTGATTATACAAAGGTGTCCAAAAGCGTTGATATTCCGTGAGATGTTTGGTATGTACATGATTCGGCATTGCTCGGCAAGCAGTGAAAATTGCAGTTCAACATTTCTAAATGCAAAATAATCCTCCTGATTTAAGTAAACATGCTTAGGGCAAACTAGAGCGATACTTGGACAAAAAGGTTAGAGAAAACTTTTTTTTTTTTATGAAAAAGGGACAGTCCCAAAGGGCCACTTGGTCTTTTCTGCAGTCACTATTCTATTTGTGTATTTCCCATTATATTATAGAATATTTAATTGATACCAACCTCTTCCCTTCAGGCAGTATGTTCGAGACTGTGTGGTGGGAACCATGGGATTAAAACCTACTGGAAGACTTTGTGATGTTTCCAAAGTTAGAGGTCTACGGTCATGCAGGTAAAAGTGTTTTGTGAATTCTTGTGTTGCAATGGTAAAACAAAAATGTTTTAAAATAATTTTTAGTTCACATATTATAAATGATGTAGAATTTTGTTAGGAAGAAATTTTGCACAAATAATATTCAGTGAGGCATCATTGACTGTCATTGTCTCTCAGAGGAAAGCTGATCGATACTATTCTGGATTGGGAGGATTCTTTGCCTGATAGAGACTTGAACTTAGCTGATGAAGCCTGCAGGTAATTAGAAATGAGACCTTGGTTTATATTTTCAAAATGTAAAAGTGATTCTTATTGGCTATAACATTTTTTTCATTGTAGAAAAGCAGATTTGGCGATAACACTTGGAACATCACTTCAAATTAAACCTAGTGGGAATCTTCCTCTTGTAACCAAGCGTAAAGGTGGCAAGTTAGTCATAGTAAACCTTCAGCCAACCAAACATGTGAGTTTTAACATTCTTTGCAATACGTTTTCTGAGCATGCCCTTATATTCTACTTTATGTATTAGAGTTAAGAGATTAAGGCTGCTTTCACACCTACCAAGTAGGTGTGATGTGATATTCCTGCATCAGGAATTTTGCGAATTCCTGCAGCAGAATTTCCAAACCTTACATTTACAAGCGGCAGCTGTCACCTGTTCAAGTTAATCAGTTGTCAGGGGCTGCAATTGCATGATCAATGCGCCCAGGTATAGCGATTGATTCCTAACCACCTGTAATTGTATCACATACGATTATATGCGGTGTGCTGGTGTTCTGGCGCTTTCAAATGCAACCCCTCTCATCCGATCATTAACTTGAGCGGGTGACAGCTGCCACTTGTGAAAGTAAGATTTGCTGATCTGCTGCAGGAAATCGATCGCTAGTTCCTGATGCAGGAATACAAAATCCCACCTATTTAGTAGGTGTTAATGAAGCCTAATTGTGAAGTTTTGCAATAAGAACTGTCTGTGTTGCCAGATTCTTCAAGTCTCCCATATTGCACTAGTGACTGCACTGTGCTGAGAAAGGGAGAATTTTTGTTTTGGCAGCACAGACATTTCACTTTGACAATTGAGGACTGTTGATTTGTTTTTGGTTTTTTTTTGTTTTTTTTATTCTTTATTTATACAGGCATTCCAACATAGTACAGAAGTGCAAAACAGTAGGGCCTCATGGCCCGGCATATTGAAACATATACAGAAATCCAGCTTATGCATCACACAACCGCGTGGCCATTCCCTTCTACTCATACATAGTGCAATAAAACCACCGATCTGTACTAGAGGTCTGCATGCTTTTCCACTTTTTCTTCTTTTGTAAAACTAACCATGAAACCTAACTTGGACCCTGAGCCAGGGGATACCATCCCTCACCTCGAGCGGATAGCCCCCCGTACGCTCAGGTTCAGCTAAAGGATAGTTACAACAGGAAAGAGAGATAAAGAAAGAGAACACAAAGACATCACAAGACGACAACAAAAGAGGGGGGGACGACAGAACCCAGTACCCGTGCCCTGGGTGTGGATGCCGCACTCCACCCAACGTGCATCACACCAGGACAAATGTGTTATTAATAAAGGGGCCGTAGGGTTGGAATACAAAGACCCAATCCATTGTCTCATGCCGACACCCAATCCAATATAATTCAGCACTTCCCTCAAAAATGACCAGCTCACTCTGTCAAACGCTTTCTCCGCATCCAAGGATAGCAGGAGAAGCTGTTGGGAGCGCGCACGAGCCAGATGGATGACGTTTAAGGTGCGAATGGTGTTGCCTCTCGGCCCGGGACAAAGCCCACCTGGTCCATCCCAATCAGGTCATCTAAGAAGGGAAGAATACGGGAGGCTAGGATACGGGTGAACAACTTAAGGTCAGCATTCAACAATGATATAGGCCTGTAGCTGGCACATTGAGATAGGTCTTTACCCGCCTTAGGAAGGACAGTAATCTGGGCCCTAAGGGAGTCTCTGGGGAGAGAGTTCCCCTCGAGGATCGAATTGCAGGCCGCCAAGAACCGGTCCCCCAGTGGGTCACAAAAGGACTTGTAATATGAGAGAGGCAGGCCGTCTGGGCCAGGCGCCTTCCCGGGTTTCATAGCTTTTAGGGCCGACTCAAATTCCGCCGTGGATATGGGCACCTCCAAGGCTAGGGCTGCGGAGTCAGGTAAACGTGGCATGCCCGAGTCTGTCAAGTATGTTCGTATCTCCCGGATGCGGGAAGGGGCCTTAGTCATCCCTGCGTCCGGGTGCAGATTGTATAAGTCCATGAAAAAGGAGTGAAACTGTTGGGCTATATCTTTAGATCTGGAGACCAGGCGGCCCTCCGCTGTACGAATAGAGGGAATGTAAGTGTGAGCTCGGGTATCACTCAAGGCACGAGCTAAAAGCTTCCCCGGCTTGTTCCCAAATTCGTAAAACGTGCGGCGCGTCTTACATAACTGAGCCTTAACCCCGTCCAATAGAAGTTCGTTAAGTTCAGTCCTAGTTCTGGTCAGAGTCAAAGTCTCCCCATCTAAGGCAGCCCTGTGCCTAAGCTCCAAGGCCCTCAACTGTTCATATAACTCGTCAATGCGCTTCAGGCACTGCCTTTTCCTGTGTGATCCTATTCTAATTAGAGCACCACGCATCACACATTTTCTCTAAAGTAATGGGAAAGTTCCAACTTTAGGTCTGCCAGTACCGCTTCATCCTGCAGTAAAGATTCGTTCAGTCGCCACGTGAACGGCGATCGCGTACCCTCACCTATAAGCAGGGTCAAATGAATGGGGGAAATGATCTGAGATAGCTGAGGTGCCAATGGAAATTTTAGACATCAGGGGCAGGGTGGCGTGCTGCAGTAGAAAGAAGTCTATACGGGAATACGCAAGGTGTGGAGCTGAGTAATGCGTGTAGTCTCTACCAGTGGGGTCCCTCCAACCGCCAAGGGTCCACCAGTTGGAGGTCGAACATGGACCGTTTGACCTTCCTTCTCTGGGCGTGAGTGATCTGGGAGATCCCCCTGGTAGAGTCCAGCGCAGGGTCCAACACCAAGTTGAAATCCCCACCCAAAATCCACACCCCCTCAGCAAAGTCCTCCAGCCGTGACCAGAAGGTTTCCAGGAAGGGCACCTGCCCTGAATTGGGGGCATAAACCCAGGGCAATGACCTGGCCAAGACCATGCTCACCCCCCTAGACTTCGAGTCGGGCGAGGGAGCATGATACGTTACGGTATATCTGTTGTTGCCCAGTCTAGGGACCTGACCGGCCCTGAAATGTGTCTCCTGCAAAAATGCTACATGCGTTTTCTGACGCCATAGCTCGTTTAGCAAATTCAATCTCTTTTCGGGGACATGGAGACCCCTAACATTGAATGAGGGAGGTAAAATTAACACCCGGCATAATTTGTGTAACCACTCACCGCTTCGGTGGGACTGCATCCAACACTCCCGACAGGGACCACACAAGGTTCTCCGGCTGGTATCACTCCCGGTAGTAGGGCCACCCACCTGGCAGCGCGGCACGGGCGGGAACACAAGAGTCCTACAAACAACACTGAAACAAAGGGGTTACGAGAAAAAAGAGAACACGTACCAAGCACCGGGTGAGACGCTGTCTGACCCTAGTGCACGGCCGCGGAAAGAAACCTTGGTACTAAAGACACACACAACTGAGGCGTCCCTATGGGTAACTCCTATGTGGAGAGGGTACACGGAGGCCCGCGCAGCATCTCAATGCTCATCAACTTTGCGGGTCTCCTGGAAGTTCCTGTCTCACGTATCTAGTTGGCGTGGTCCTCTGGGGTCGGGGAAGATTGGCAGGCCCTAGGTTTACCCCCTCCAGGGACGCGGTATCCAGCCAGTCTGGAAGCGAGAGGGGCTCACACTCTAGGAAGCCCGCCAGGTCCGGTAGTTGGCTAGGGTGGGTCAATCTGAAGGTCCTGTCACCTCTGCCGATCATCATGGCAAATGGGAAACCCCAACTATAAGGGATCCCTAGGGCTTGAAGTCTATCCGTCAGTGGCTTGAGGAGGCGCCTCCAGTACAGGCTTTGAGGGCACACATCAGGGAGGATCTGGACTCCCGCTCTGTCAAAGTCAACTATTCCTTGTCTCCAAGCAGCGCAAAGGATTTCCTCTTTGATGTTAAAGAAATGCACGCGGCACAACACATCTCTAGGCCTGTTCTCAGCCTGGCCCCTAGGGCCTAGGGTCCTGTGCACTCGATCAAGTTCAATCCGGTCTGTCGGGGGCTTACCCAGCAGACCATTGAATATGGCCGTGACCGCAGCTCTGAGATCCCGACCACCGGTGGCCTCAGGGATCCCCCGTAACCGTAAGTTGTTGCGGCGGTTACGGTTTTTAGTGTCTTCCAACCTCAGCTGGAGTTGAATCGTCTGGGCCCTTTGCTGCTGCATGGAGTCCTCCAGCTGGGTGACCCGAGTCAGCGCAGTGTCCCCTGCTTCCAGCGCGGCAATACGTTGGGTATGCTGAGCTACCCACTCCTTCACCTCAGCCAACTCTGCGTGGAGTGAGGCCGCTATTTGGGATATCATGGCCTGCATGTCCTCTCTGGTCGGGAGTGCTGCCAGCATGGCGCACAGGTCTGGCCAACGGTCAAGTCCGCGCCTCCCGGTGTGTGCGACGGCCCTGGCTGCGATTGCTGCATCAGCCCCAGCATGGGATCGGCCAAGGAGGAAGTTGGGGACGCAGAAGGGTCCATCTGTCCCTGGGAACCCCCGCATGGCGATACTGTCGGGGCGTCAGCAAGTGACGAGACCCGAGTGTCCTGGGGCTTGGTAGTAGGCCGGGCCCAAGTGAGTCTAGCGGCCTGAGTCCGGGTACCCGCCGCGGGCTGGGACAGGAACGAGTCCAATCGAGCCTGTGTACAAGGGCGGGGGGTCCGCGACCGTCTGGTACTTCTTGACATAGGGCGAAATGGAGTCAAATAGAAGGATCAACTGAGACAATCTCCATTACACTCTGGAGCTCTCCTCGCACACGTCCGCTCGCCGCCATGCTCAGGCCACGCCACCCCCTGTTGCTTTGTTTTGATCAGTGAACTTTAAATATTAGTTGTCTTTTAATCCAATGCAAATATTTGAGTAAACCTGATATGCATTGCTTTCAGTGATTCTGTTAAATCTTATTAATGCCACGGGCGTACCTAGTATGTGATTGGCAGCACGGCCCTGTAAACAGACTCTGCTTACCTTTTGTAAAGCCGGCTGCTGGCTTTACAATAGAAGTGATTCTGGTGGTTCAGCTGCGGCCAGATTGCTTCTATGGCCCGGGAAAGTGGCAGCTCGACCCTCCCCCCACCGTGTTTCACAGGGCCGACATGTCTTTCTATTTTTTTAATTTTAGTTTATTAAATTTTATTTTTTACTTTATTGCTGGTATTGATAGCCAGCCTGCTATGGATATTTCAAATTGCAATAACCAATAGCAGGCTGGCAATTGCATCCGCCCACTGCCTGCTGTCAAT